TGTCCCAGCACACCCAGCTAATTTTTGTATTTTTAGTAGAGACGGAGTTTCATCCTATTGATCAGGATGGTCTCAATCTCTTGACTTCGTAATCTGCGCCCCTCAGCCTCCCAAAGTGCTGGGATTACAGGTATGAACCACCACGCCCAGCCTTCCTGTACTTTTTAGGTCTACATCATCTCACGTGGGAACCAGAGCCACTGATGTATAAACACTGTGGGCTGGGGTAGTGACCTGAGAAGGCAGACTGGCTCATTCCTTTTCCTCTTTCAGCTACCTTAGGAGGATAGGAAACAAAGTGAGATTGTTACCTCTGATTTGTTGCAATTCTGATGTCTCATAAAATTTGAGTCCCGAATCTAAAGGTCATTGTGATCACTGAATTAGCTGCTAAAGAGCAAAATTTGAGATAAGTCTGGCACTTAATTAAGTTATACTGGTTTATTCAAGAAGATAGTAGCTGCCCTTATCCTAATGTTCCAATGTCCCTGGTTAGTAAATCAGATGAAATAATGTTTATAAAATATTTGATATAAAGAATAATGTGACTTTATGCTGTGGAAATAAACATGTTAGTCAAGCTCTCTCTCTTTGTCTTTATGTGTGTTGTAGTGAGTGTGTGTGCAGAGACATCTTTAAAACATTAATTACAAATTTTTTTGTAACCCTAGGGTTTTATACGCATCAGCTGTTGCCAGTACTGTAAAATAGAATTTCACATGAATTGCTGGAAGAAGTTAAAAAGTACAACCTTTAATGATAAAATTGACAAGGTAAAGCATAACAAGATTGTCTGAATTTTTCAGTATACTTATTGTATGTCAATTTTTTCCCCCAAGAATTCCTTCCTGAACATTCTGCACATAATTAGAAAGTTTTAAATTATAACTTTAATAATAAAGTGAAAAATCAGGTTTTGTTTTTATTTATACAATCATGAAGGCATTAACCATAGAGGCTTTGTTTTTTTAAAGAGACGGATCTCACTGTGTTGCCCAGGCTAGAGTGCAGTGGTGCAGTCGTAGCTCACTGCAGCCTCAGACTCCTTGACCCAAGTGATCCTACTTCAGCCTCCCAAAGTGCTGGGATTATAGGCATGAGCCACTGTGCCAGACCCCACTTGAAAGTTTTGATGTGGAATTAGAGGTTTCAAAACCAAAATTTGATGCAGTAATTTGTACTAAGAAATCAACTCAAAATAATATTTTTAATGTTGGGAAGAAGGATCAACTTCAATTTTAAACTGCCATTTCTCACCAGGGATTTTCTTATTATCAAGATAATGACATTAATTACCATGAAGTAGACATACTTTGAGGGAAGACATAATATTACGATCTTATTTGTATTCATAGAATTTGTTTCTGATCTGTAGAAACTATGGACCTTTTCCTACACTTCTTAGGCTTATGCAGACCACTGGTCTTACTTGGGAAAGAATAAGGCAGTTGTACTAGGCATCTGTTAACGATAGCAATTATTAAAGTTTGGTAGAAATAAATTCTCACATTTTGTACATTTTCACATAATTAATTAACAATAGAATGATGTGAGTAAATAACTGTCACCTTTGAGTCACTTCTGCTATGTCTTTGTCTTACCTAAATTGAGTTTCTCTAGCGATATACCGGCTTTTAGTGGTCTTAACCATTCCCATGGTTTTAAATATGCTCTTTAAATTAGTTAGCTTTCACTAGGATATGCTGAAGTAATATACACCCAAATATCTTGTGGCATACATTCAGAGAAGTTTGTTTTTTGCTTACGTGACTAGTCCTACAGTTCTGCAGTTGTTGGCTGGGACTGGGCTGTAGCAGCTTTATTCTGTGTGGCTTTATTCCTTGTTTCTCAATCTAAGTTGAAGAATGACCCTTTTCTGGAACATCCTCCTGTGTCAGAGGAAAAAGAACAATGTCCAGTCTATAAAGTGTTTGTTAAACCTTTTTTCTAGACATGTGTACATCATGTCTGGTCACTTTGCATTGATGAAAGCAAGTCACATGGTCAGACCCACACCTGAAAGTATGTTTTTCCTACATGGAAGCCTTAAAATTCACATGGCAGTGAGTAAGGATTTTCACCACTTCCCTGAAGATGGTTTTAGTCCGTATTTTGACTGTTCCTAGTGGTAAAAGTAGTATACATGTATAGATTTATCCCCCCTAGATGTAACATTTTTCTTGTTTTTTTTTTTTTTTTCAATCAAATAGGATTTTCTACAAGGAATATGTCTTACCCCTGACTGTGAAGGTGTCATTTCTAAGATTATCATCTTCAGCAGTGGTGGTCAAGTTAAATGTGAAGTAAGTAATAAAGGGGAAACCTTGTTAAATAGATAACCAAAATGTTTACACCTTTTGAAACATGATTTGAATTTGTAGATGTCGTGTAATTTGGATATTTTCCAGGAAAGAAGCAATTACTTCGTTTAAGAAAATATAGAAAATACTTGGATGTGAGAATGCTTCATTGTAATGAAAGCATTCGTATATTCTTTTATTTTTTAATAGGAAAAGGAGGCTTTTTATATCTTAGTTTTACTGTTTTTACTCTTTTTGATAACTTCATTTTCTTAATCCTGGTAAACTTTGGGGCATTAGTGGGTGTGCAGGTTTTTAGGGAGGGGGAAGAGCATCTTGAGGGATTACCTTTAACTTCATGACATGGGAGTGGCAGGAGTGGGTAGTTGTAATAATATTTATACTTCATTAGATCGTCTGCTTACTCTTAATTTTTTAAAATCCTTTTCCTCAAGTGTGTCTACGCTCTTGTTCCTCTTCAGTAAATTATTTTGCTAAAGCTTTCTGGGCTTTTGTCTGGGTCAGAACATCATCACTGTTCTCTATCAAACTGAACATTATGTGTGCTTCTGAAATACTTGTCACTTGTGGTTTTGTGTTTTATGTCATGGGAGTATGAGACAAATTTTGGATGTCTTTGTTTTATTTAAAGTTTGAACACAAGGTCATAAAAGAAAAGGTTCCTCCAAGACCTATTCTGAAACAGAAATGTTCTAGGTAAGATTTTTAACAATCAGTGGTTTGATGATGTCTCTTAGAATATAATTCAATTAAATGCAGATTTTTAAATTATGCCTTTTAAAAAATTGGCTGTGTATACATATATCCAAATAAGTGTTTTTTAGAAATGATTTTTATGGAAATTTAAAACTTAAAGAGAACTAGCCTAGAATGACTAAATACTAAAAACTTGATTCAGAATTATTTATCTAGTGGTTGAATTTACAAGTAAAATTAGAACATTTGATGCTGTGAAATTACATGTTTGATGAATACATTTGGCATTTATATAAAAACTATATAGTTTGCTGTCAGTTGTTGAAACTTTAATTCCAAAAGCATATTTTTCTTTTTATCTGTCTTCAATAAACATTTTGAACCTATGACTGTTTTTTACCCTGAAATACTCAATGTACTGTCTAAATTATTACTTCTCTATAGCTTTTTTTTTTAGATCAAATAATTCAGATTCTTTTTTCTTTTCTTTTTGGTCCTGCTTCTTGTTTTTCTTTCTAAGAAGTGATCATTTTTTATCATTTGTGACCAAGAAAAAGCAAAAGAAAAGATGAACAGAATTATTTGTTGGAGAGAATTCATTGTAACCAGATCAACCAAATTATAGTGTTGTGGGTTATTATTGGGATGTGAAAACTATATTTTACTATGGGACCTTTCTTAGAAATGAGAGTTTATATGAATTATTTTGCAGAGTAATTTGTACTATTTCTGTTTATCTTATGAAGTAACTTACATACATGGAAGTGACATCTATACAATCTGTAGACTGCATCCTTAGACATCACCTAATCATTGAGGTTCTTGTTTTCATGAAACAAGTACCCTTATTTTGACAATACTGACAAGTTTCTTATATTGAATGGAAGATGTAGGCTGGGCTCTAATTAAAAAGGAAAACTTCTAATGTATTGCTTGGAAGATGGTTTCTATGATAGTCAGAGGAAAACAGTTCATCGAGTTACCGCTAATTGTAAATGTTTATCAGCCTAGAGAAACTAAGACTGAAAGAAGACAAAAAATTGAAGAGAAAGATCCAAAAAAAAGAAGCAAAAAAATTAGCACAAGAAAGAATGGAGGAGGACTTAAGAGAAAGTAATCCACCCAAAAAGGAAGAGCAGAAAGGTATGCATAAGCCAAAGCCATGATACGAATATTATACTCTCATTTAAAAGTATAAATATAAGCATCTTTTGGGCCTTATGTTCATTGATACTGAATTGAAATGAAGATTTCAGTTAGTAATTTAATACTATCACTGTCTTCTGTTACTCAAAGACAGAACTGGGTTGGTGTAAAGAGCAGTGAAAAACCTTTCAGAGATTGTATTCCCACTGAAAAACCTTTCAGAGATTGTATTTTAACTTTCCTTGCTTGATGACTAAACATATTTATTGTATGTAAAGTTAAGGTAGTTGATGAAGCTGGATTAGGATTGTTGAAGGAAGTGGCCATATTTTAGAGGAACTAAGTTTTAAATGCTACATGAATGGTTCAGAATGAAGGGTATAAAATGCTTGCTTTTGATATGTTTATTTTAACGTGCACTTTCATGTCTTTTCAAAAGTATTGTTAAATGTTTATATTTCTAATTAAAGTTTCTCGAGTTGTTTAGTAAAACAATATAATCAATCTGAATCATTTTATATTATGTAATTTTACATTATTTCTAAGTTTATATCATTGTGAATTAGTCCTATTTATCACTTTAACCATCGTTATTTATCCTTAGAAACTGTAGACAATGTTCAGCATTGTCAGTTCCTTGATGACAGAATTCTGCAGTGTATAAAGCAGTATGCTGACAAAATCAAATCTGGCATACGGAATACAGCCACGCTTCTCAAAGAATTGCTTTCTTGGAAAGTTTTGAGCACAGAAGACTATACAACCTGTTTTTCTAGCAGAAATTTT